ACGTTAAACATGATAGGTTCCCAGGTTAAGGGGTATAAGGTAACTGACATGATACTTTGTTGTATCAATAGCCATATACTCCATTTCCTGGTAGAATGTACGATATTTTGACTTAAGGACCCTCTCTACACCAGTGCAAAATATTTTTTGGACATTGAGAAAAATATATTATATAAAGGTGTTAAAATTGAGCTTTTCTATTTAATTATCACTATATGGTACCTGGCATTTACCCCCAGGAAAAATGTTCAAACTCAACACAGTATCATTGAATAGAAATCACTGTTGTTTACCCCCATAGAGAAAATACATGTAAATAAAATGTTCAATTAATTTATCTTGGCCTTTTAAAATGTTAAGAATACTTGAATTGATTACAAATTGAGTAATATACTGTAAATTTCTATTTTTTAGAATTTAAATCTAAGGGCAGATCATTCTAACTGTAGAAAAACACCATAGAATCAGAACTCTTTAGTGTGCAGTGTAGAGAGGGTTGTTAAATGGAGTATATTCAGTAGCCATGCTAAATGCATTCTTGTCTCTTAGCTACTGGAATTTTTTCTACTTTTGGTTTTAAAAGATTATGATTCTTATACTATTTAATTTGCCAATGCTATAATCATATTATAGATTTGATTAATTTGGTGCGGGGCAGCTCAAGCACTGAGCCAAAGGCACATGGCAACCATTTCTCCCTGTCCTCCACTGCTTATCGCATGCGTTGTTATCTGCCCTTTTTTCCAGTTTGTTCGAAACTACTTTCTTTTTCAGTGGAAACATGAATTATCTTGCAATTGATTATTTTTAACATGTTTAAGAAAAAATACAATAACCCATCTAAAACTTCATCAGGCAAGGACATTACCCATAACTCACCAGCCCCCACTAAATGTAAAAATATATAAAGTGGCATTCAGCCCTCCTGTATAGATTTTCCTGGAATAGCCCTGAGTTCGGTTTGCACAGAAACACAAAAAAAACTACCCAAGACAATTGTTCTCTGCATAGTTTTGGGGGATTGTTGATGGGAAGTACTGCAATGTAAGAGTCTTTTCAGCTGTTTTTATAAGTTGATATTAAGGGCATACACAACATACTTTACCTAATGATAATTTTTCAAGATATTCTTAAATTAGAATTATAGTGCCATCAAATGTTCGTAGACAAAAAATCAGCATGCATTACCAGGAGTTTTGAAAAGATATCAATTCATTATTGATGAAAATTCTGGTATAATTCGAAGAAAAATATACAAAAATTACTAAACATATATTCTAGATGTTTTGTTTATCCAAACTTGTTTTAGAAGAAGTGTACAACAGCATATATAGACATTAAAATGTAGCACACAGTTCCTTTAAGTATCGGAACTCTACAAATCCAGGGGAAAAAGGAAATAAAGTTCAGACTACGTTGCGTATGTCCTTAAAGTATATGTACTTTTGAGTGAAATTAACATTATGCTTTAGTTCTGTAAATTTGGCTTGATGTCAGACACTATGAAGTCATAAATGTAATCCTATGTACTTTGTGGAGTATTACTGGAAAAATCATGTCCATAGAATTTACATCTGAGAAAACACAAATTATCACATCTGTCAGCCTGACAGACTGCGTGAGTTGTTAATCTTCAGGATATTAAGCAAACACCTGTTGTGTAGAAATTGGTGGAAACATCTTTATATTTGTCAGCTTCAAATTGTCTCTTTTGTCATGTTTGTACCTGGAAATCGTGCCTCTCTCCACATGTTTCTCTCTCAATATCAGCTTTGTGATGTTTATTTTCCTCGGGTTAACCATAAAATCATCTGGTTTAGCCCATGAAGAATTCTTCATGAAAGATTTTTTTCCTTACCATTTGGTCCACTTAAAGCATATTTTTCTAATAGATGTACTTTGGTAAAGGGTAAGCTGGAGGTTTCTAACTCAATCATTCATCAAAAATAGGTCAAGGACAACACAAATCAATTTGCAAAAATGCCTTCATGGAGAATACCTTTCAGTGTAGAATTTCATGCATCTGTCTCTCTCTCCTCCCCCCCTCTCTCTCTCTCTTTCTCTCTCTCTCTCTCTCTCGTGTTCTGTACAAAATTATTAAAGTCAAGTTGCACTGGATCTTCATGTACCATATATACTCACCTATTGGTCGGTCCACCTATAAGTCGATTGTATTTTTGAGGTTGTTTTGGAGGGATTTGCCATTGACCAACCTATAAGTCAGTACTATTTTTTGCCAGAATTGGATGACAATTTCAAATCAATGCTCTGATCTTTTAACCTGATTTCAATCAATATTTTGAAAAATAATGCCAATATTTAATTTTAAATCATTAAACAATTATGTAATACACACTTAATCTAAAAATAAAATTATTAAAATGTGTAAATACTTTTACTTTAATGTATATAATCTTTGAATACATAATGATATATCCAGACTTTGTTAAACAATAATCATCAGAAATGTTCATAAAATATTTTATTTCACCATCCAGATAAGTGCAAATTTTTTTATGACTCGCCTTTAAGTCAGACATAGAGTTTTGGACCAAAACTTAACTCCCAAAAAAATGACTTATAGGCGAGTATATATAATGGTAGATTCCATGATGAGTTATATAAGTACGCAAGTTGTCAGGTAAAATCATGGACATTGCATTTTTATAAAAAAAAAAATTATCCATACCTGTGCACTAAGCTGAAATTTCTAGCAAATGTTCATCTATCATACTGTATACAAGGAAATTTTTACCCCTGTTTTGTTTTTGCCCCTTTCGCCTACTCAGATGCGGGCGAATTAAAAACGGGGCAAATTCCAAAAAATACAGTATAATTTCTTAAACAACGGTGATTGGGCGAATTTAAAACAGGGCAAAATTCTTTACAAGTGTGAAAGGTTGAAAATAACATGGGGTGAAAATAACCTTGTATACAGTAATCAAGTATATCTTCAATTTTTTGATAAAATATATATCAAAAAAATAAAGACTTTATTTTACTTGAATATGCTTGTAGGGTTAGTCCTATGGTGCATGATTAAAGAATCTGAGTTTCATCAGAGAATATAGGAGTATTATTTCTTAACAGAAGTATTACTTAGATAATATTTGGGTAAAAGTTGTCATATTTAAGTCACTATTATGTTGTCATTTTGAAAATTTCGAGGCATTTAATTTTCGACACTTTCTGGGTCATTTGAAATGGAAGATGGTAAACACAGCAGACAAAAAATTGCGATGTTTGACAATGTTATGGCACACAGAGAGCTGTTTAGTTTGATGTAGATTTAGTAATGAGGCCCTTACAGTCTTTAGATAATGTCAGATGATTAAAATATATACTCATCTGACACAAAGAAGAAATAAAACATGCAGTTATAGAAACAAATATCTAAATATTTTGATTTAATGATATTAACAGCTTAAGACAGATTTTAACAGTAATAAGAAAAAACTTTTAAGAAAAAAGTTTTTAGTTTTATAACATTCATGATTGATAAAAAATGTTGGATAACATTTTGGTGTTTAGGGGTATCTTGTTATATCCATAATGCATGTATGTATATTGTTTCTGTGATCAGTATTACATTAAAGTGTCTTAGTTACTTTTATAACTAATTACAAATTTAAACATCATTGTTTCTAATTAAGATACACTCCTATGTTAAATCCTGTTGAGATTTTCAGAACTGTTGCTATGAAAATGGCTCTATGGGAGACTATTTATTACACTCTCTTCTCTAACTAATTTAAGAATTCAAAGATGATTTTATGACAATAAATGAAAACTAGAAGGTGACTAAAACCTCTCTGTCTTGAAAAGCTTGTGAAGTTGGCAACTATTTCACCCAAGTCTCTTTTGCATGGATCAAAAGCATGGAAAAAATTAAGGTCAGCGCTGTTAATTAAGGTTGGTTGGAAAAGCCAAAACAAACTTTTTTTTTTATTCTTAGTCTTGGAAAGATGTAGGAAGGAATCCTTTAAATCTTCTTCTCAAGAACAGCAGGACCATCATTAGTCATATTAATATGAAACCATTCCCAGGTAGTGCAGATTCAGATTTGTTCAAATTATGACCCTTGGGGATTGTGTGGGGCCACAGTGGGTGATCAGTTTTACATAAGAATATATAGGGAAAATTTTAAAAATCTTCTCAAGAACAGCAAAGTCATTATGTCACATTTATATAGAAACATCTTCAGGAAGTGTAGATTCAAGTTCTCAAATCATGCACCCTGGGAATAGGGTTGGGCCATAATACGGTATCAAGGTTTCACATGAGAATATATTTTTAAAATAAGCATTTCAAAATCTTCCCCTCAAGAACCTCAGGACCAGATGAAACTTGCATGAAAGTTTTCTTTCTCCCAGGGGTAGTGTTGGCCCAAAATAGAGGATGAAAGTTTTACATAGGACTTAACAAGAAAAACAAATAAAATCTTCTCAAGAACCAAAGTACACCCATTCATTTTCAAACATTCCCAAGTTGTGTTAATTCATATTTTTTTTAAATTGTGGACCCCTTGGTAAGAGTTGGCTGAAAAAGGTATCAAAATATGGGTGGACTTAAGTGTCCAGAAAAAATGCCACAAATTAAAGTGTTATAAATAAAATGTTTTTTTCTTGCCATCATATAAATCCCCAATATTTTAACCATATATTCTTGGTACAGATGAGAATTTAAAACGCTCTTTTTGATAAAAACTAAATAAATATTGAAGGCATGGGACCAGAAGATTTCTTGAATATCAATAGATATTCAGGGTCACACGATTTTTATCATCTGAATACATAGCGCATGTTTGTCGCATGTTCTTAAGAAAACTGTAGTTGTATATTGAACAAAATAATGTCACATTAAAAGGAGAAGAGCCGACAAACTTGCGCTCATACTTAATTCAAAAAAAAAAAACATGTTCAAAATAAACTTCAGATCTGTTACTTTTGTGCAATGAATTATACAAAAAGAGATAATGAGAATATTTTCTTTGCTTACAGGCCAGAAGTTTTGGAACTAAACAAATTGATGAGGATGGATTACTGGACCTGATCAGAACACTTCCTGGGAAACGATCCAAGTATGAAGTTCAAGCAGCTGAACAGGTGAAAAAGGTATAAAGTTCAAGCAGATGACAGGTGATAAAGGTATGAAGTATAAGCAGATTACAGGTGATAAAGGTATGAAGTTCAAGCTGCTGAACAGGTGATAAAGGTACGAAGTATAAGCAGATTACAGGTGATAAAGGTATGAAGTTCAAGCAGATGACAGGTGATAAAGGAATGAAGTATAAGCAGATTACAGGTGATAAAGGTATGAAGTTCAAGCTGCTGAACAGGTGATAAAGGTATGAAGTTCAAGCTGCTGAACAGGTGATAAAGGTATGAAGTTCAAGCTGCTGAACAGGTGATAAAGGTATGAAGTTCAAGCAGCGGAACAGGTGATAAAGGTATGAAGTTCAAGCAGGTGATAAAGGTATGAAGTTCAAGCAGCTGAACAGGTGATAAAGGTATGAAGTATAAGCAGATTACAGGTGATAAAGGTATGAAGTTCAAGCAGCTGAACAGGTGATAAAGGTATGAAGTTCAAGCTGCTGAACAGGTGATAAAGGTATGAAGTTCAAGCAGCTGAACAGGTGATAAAGATATGAAGTTCAAGCAGCTGAACAGGTGATAAAGGTATGAAGTTCAAGCAGCTGAACAGGTGATAAAGGTATGAAGTTCAAGCAGCTGAACAGGTGATAAAGGTATGAAGTTCAAGCAGCTGAACAGGTGATAAAGGTATGAAGTATAAGCAGATTACAGGTGATACAGGTATGAAGTTCAAGCAGCTGAACAGGTGATAAAGGTATGAAGTTCAAGCAGCTGAACAGGTGATAAAGATATGAAGTTCAATCTGCTGAACAGGTGATAAAGGTATGAAGTTCAAGCAGATTACAGGTGATAAAGGTATGAAGTTCAAGCTGCTGAACAGGTGATAAAGATATGAAGTTCAAGCAGATGACAATTGATAAAGGTATGAAGTATAAGCAGATTACAGGTGAAAAAGGTATGAAGTTCAAGCTGCTGAACAGGTGATATAGGTATGAAGTTCAAGCTGCTGAACAGGTGATAAAGGTATGAAGTTCAAGCAGATTACAGGTGATAAAGGAATGAAGTCTAAGCAGATGACAGGTGATAAAGATATGAAGTTCAAGCAGCTGAACAGGTGATAAAGGTATGAAGTTCAAGCAGGTGATAAAGGTATGAAGTTCAAGCTGCTGAACAGGTGATAAAGGTATGAAGTTCAAGCTGCTGAACAGGTGATAAAGGTATGAAGTTCAAGCAGATTACAGGTGATAAAGGAATGAAGTATAAGCAGATTACAGGTGATAAAGGTATGAAGTTCAAGCAGCTGAACAGGTGATAAAGGTATGAAGTTCAAGCAGCGAACAGGTGATAAAGATAATGAAGTTCAAGCAGCTGAACAGGTGATAAAGGTATGAAGTTCAAGCAGCTGAACAGGTGATAAAGGTATGAAGTTTAAGCAGCTGAACAGGTGATAAAGGTATGAAGTTCAAGCTGCTGAATGGATGAAAAATGTTAAAAATTCAAGCAGCTGAACAGGTGAAAAAGTATGAAGTTCAAGCAGCTGACAGGTGAAAAAAGGTGGGCTGCACAGAGTGAAAATTCTTTAATTTGCACAGTACAGCATGTTTACAATGAACAAGAGTACTGTGTATAGGACCTGTTAAAATAAATCGCTCTTAATTGAATATCAGATACAATGTAATATTGTTTATCAACATGCAAGTTTAATTCTAGAACATTAAGTTAAGAAAATATATTTATTTCAAATTTTCCCTCATATTCCTCTCGACATTGCTTGGTTGTTCAGAGACAACAGACGTCTTTTCCAGAGCATGGAATCCCGATTTTCATAAGTTATGTAAATGAAGAGCTTATATAACAAATTTTTGACTATTTTTGCTATATTTTTCATAATTCCCAAGGTGATTCTATCTTCTTTCTTCTAACACGTTAGTAAACACCCATTATGACATCATGTTGTGCTACATAATATTGGTTTGTGAGAGCTTTTTGGAGTAATAATGTACAGATAGTTTGAAGAATTTAAGTAAAGGGAGAAAAAGGTTCCATAAAGTGTGCTTGTGTATTTAACTTGCACAGGTTATAGAACCTGTATATTATTAAAAAATTTGCTTTGTTCAAAATTCATTATTTTCAATGATACTTTTAGAAATTTTGTCCACAAACTTGCCATTTTACCCTGGATATATTCTCAAGAAATTGTTAGAGATTTCTAATTGATGTATTTCGATGCAGTTCTTGGCATTTAAATATTGTGCACATTTTTGGAGGTTTGTCAATTACTTGTATGATGTAAGCCAATAAACATGAAAAAAAAAATTATTTGTTATTAAGGACATTGGCAAGGTTTCTGGCTTTCAGATAGAATTTTTCAAAAACTCTTGAGTAGGTGTAATGGTACTAAACAAGTTACATTCTGGTACATTTAACCCACCAAGCCACCTTTCCTTTTTAGATTTTGTCAAATCAATGTTTTTACAATATTCAATGCTTTTCCTATGTTCATTGTTGATAAAAAGGATATTTACATATTTCACATTAAGTTTTCTCCAAAACCCATTTATTTCACAAAGTTTTTGTATTATATACACTATTGTATCCTCATTTCCTATGACATCTAGATATTTTGGCTGAAAATGTAAATATAGAAACAAGATACATGTACTTCGAAACTTTTGAAACTTTGAAACTTTTATTTTCACTAAAGCCCCCACATGGGGTATGCTAGTACAATAAGAGTGTAACAAATGAACAAACCAACATGTGAACAGTTAACATAATGAACCACAAAAAGAACTTTGATATGGACAGTACTGACAGTTGTATAAAAAAAAAAATCGTTTAATGTTTACATTGTAGGAAGTTCAGGCATGAAATAATTTAAGAACAGTTTTACAAAACTTAGCTAAACCTATTAGTTCATATATATCAGAAGTATTCATGAAATTATAAAAAGATATTGTGTTTGGATTTGTGTAAATATTGCCAGGTATAAATTTCTGTCTTTCATTCTTAAAAAAAGGACACTTAAATAAAAAATGAAACTCATCACCAAGTTCATTGTTATTGCAGAGGTTACAATGTCTCTCAGATCTATCAATACTATAAAATCTACCAGCTTCAATTGGCAAATTATGACTGACACAACGAAATTTACATAAATATAATCTAAGATCATTTGGTAACGTTTAGATAATTTTCGAAACAGATATGCCAGCACCGTTCTTTATTTATGAGTTACTTCCGTTAGAATCTATTATTATTCCTAATGGTAAAGAGGCTGATTTACTGTTTCTATAATGTTATCAACTTTATTGGAAACAAAATTTTTATAAAAATATTGGCGTGGATTTTTGTTCGAAATTACCACATAAGTAGTGGCTCCCTCACAAGACCTAGAAACTGTTCTAAACGTTTAATTGTCAAAACTTTGCCCTTCCCAGTAAATAATCTGTTGACTGTCCGTCCCTTGAGTACAATGTCCAACAAACCATTACTGCTTTTATTTTATGCTGTAGAAATGATTCTTATGGTTGAAGGAAGCATACATGCTTTTGTTTATCTCCATAACATTCACTTTATTGGTTGAATTCTACATGGGAGATCACTCTCAATCAGTTTTATAAGTGAAAAAAAACCATGAATTAAACCTTTTTTCTCTGGATAACTGGGACTTACCAATGTCCTTAAAATGAAATTTATTATTTTTTCAGATGTAAGACTAAACAAGAGGCCCTTGGGCCACAGAGTTCACCTGAGCTCTCTCTTGGCCCACCTGTTCTTCATCACAAAATTTAAGGGAAAAAAATCCATCTTTATTTACACAAAAAATCTTACTCCCATATTCTGGCCCCTCCCTAGCCCCAAAAGATCATGAAATAACCTAACTTGAATCAACTTATCCTGGGGATATTACTAACATGGCCTTGATGTTATTCTAAAGATATAAACATGCAGCAAGTGAATATTGCTCCCTGATTTTAGTCTAACTTAGCTAACCCCAGGAATTTATTATTTGAAGAAACTTTGGAATATTTTATATTAATGTGATTTATTGTTACCATGCTATTTTTTAAAAAAACATTTTGAAAATTAAAACCGTTATTAATTTCCTTTTAAATTGATCCCAATTGTGGCCCCATATAACAAGTGTGTTGGGGGGATGATTTGAAAAACTGGGATCTGCACTACTTATGAATGCTTGCATATTAAGATTAGTAATCATGGCTTGTTGTTCATGAGAAGATTATGAAACACCTTTTTCTTGTATATATTCCCATGTAAAAATTTGTTCCCCGATTGTGGCACTGCCCCACCCCTGAAGGTCATGATTTGAACAAATTATAATCTCCCCTAACTGAGTATGACTGCAGTTTAATATCACCAATCACAGTCCTGCTGTTCTTGATTGTTCCTGTTTTTTAAGACTTTATCCCCAATATTCCCATATTAAACTTTGATCCCCTAAATGTGCCTTCACCCTTCTCCCTGGGCCATGATTTGAACAAACTTGAATCTGCTTTAACAGAGGTGAATGCAATTTAAGGGGAAGAAGGACCTTGAGCTGAAAAAAATACTTGTCATTCAATTTTTTTTATATTTTGTATATTTCTAATTAAGTATGTCCCACATATCTTGAAGCAGAAATATCATTAGGTTTCTGACCTTATTTTCGAGATATTGATTGACAAATACTATGTCCTACAGTATCTAAGTGGAGTTTTAATTCTCCATGTTTCCGGACTCATTACTCTGTCCACAATAGGATTTTTTAAACATTTATAAAAAATATGTAAGTGGACATGTATCTTTTGAAATATTTCAGAGTATGAATAGGGTTTAAAATTCGAAAAAGCAAGTTTCTTCTATCACTCTGCATCTGGATAGGGAAAATTACGTACTTTTTAAGACAACTTAAACAACATAAAACGTAATTTACAAAAAATTCTATCATTCAATATTTTTCAATTTATCTTGAAATGCAAGTCCTTCGTATTATTGATTAACTGTAAAAATTTCGAATGGTGAAGCTGACCTCAATATTGCACAGGACATTGTGAAAGAAGGCATAAGCATGACAAAACCGTGTCATGTTTATATTTCTCGAGTACGGGAAAAACCAACTATGACGTCACGCGTAAGCTAAATAAGCGAAATAAGATATACCTACATCAGATTTCCGTCATCAGCAATGCAAAAATAATTTTTGTGTTCCCATTTCTCAAAATATTTCATCACATACTGATTATGACCTGTTTTTACATAATAATACCGCCCCTGTATTCACCGAGTATGATCTTGCTGTACTAACAGATCGTGTATAACATCACCAACTTGTTGGACGCGCAGTTTAGGGAAACAGAGGAGTGGATCAAACAATTTCATAATTTGTTAATGTTTACAAGAATGTTAAAACTTTTTATTTTTTATACATAAGATGGAAATCAAAGTAAACAAATTGTCAAATATTAATACAAGAACTGATGGTTTACACGTTTTGCACTTATATAAACGGAGACTATGACGTAGTTAAACAGAGTCATGTGACCATGTGTCCTTCATCCCCTTAATATTACTCTTCATGGCCCTGCTTTCTTGAGAAAAAGATTTTTAAACATTTTTTCCTGTATATTCTCAGGTATGATTTTAGGGGGATTCAAGATTGTTCAAATGAAAAGCCATCCCTTTTTCAAGGGGTGATAATTAAGAATTATTGAAAATGTGAAGAAAAAAATCAATCTTCTTCTGAAGAAAAAATGAAACATATATGAAAGTTTCTTGACATTAAGTGTAGATTCTAGCTTGTTTAAATCATGGTCCCTGGGTTTTGGTGGGGCCACAATAGGAGATCAACTTCTTACATGCTGATAATTATATCCAGGGGAAAAATCTTCAAAAATCTTCCTCTGAAGAACAGCAGGGCCAAGGTGACTCAGATGAGTGTTGTGGCCTGTGTACTTCTTGTTTTTTTTCTTTTTTTTCCAACCAATTAAATTTACCTTTGTAAGTCTGTATTTGTCTGAGAAATTTTGGACAGAATATTTTAATCTTTAAAAGAATCAAATCATTAGCTCATATGAGTCGAAAGCTCATGTAACCTTTTCTGATCCAAATTTTTTTGTTGTCTGTCGTTTTGTTGTCGTCGTGGTCTATATTATCTGAAAGAAAATGCCATTGAAAATGGATGTCTTCAACTTCTTAAGAAAATAACAGCACTATGACTATAGATTTTTTTGACTATATATTCCTAGTGTAAATTTTGTCATTTACACTAGGAATATATAGAGAAAATCAGCTGATGAAGAACAGCAAAGCCATAATGACTCAGGTGAGCATCGTGGCCCATCGTACGGTTTGGGCTTTATTGTGCCCTTAATATGTAATGTTTTCAAAGAGTTATGAAATTGGCTTAAATATGACTTGAGTAAATGAATGTGATAAATCATGAGAGAATATGGCATGAAGGAGGACCATTCTGGAATTATGACTTCATTAATTTTGTACATTTCTAAGTTTTTAGCAGAAAAAGCCTCAAAATGACTCATTTCCAGGGTTATTTCTTTCAAGGAAACAATGTCTACAGCCCTCACCCACTTCAATTTTCAGATATCGTATGTAAAATCCTTTGAAAAATCACATTTCTCAAAATCTTTGTGGGCGATGCATGTGCTCTGTATTATCTGAAAGAAAATGCCATTGAAAATTGATGTCTTCGGCAACTTTTTAAGAAAATATGGTAAACTGCTCAAGTTCATGACGCCACAGTCAGCAATTAGGAAGTCATATGAGAAAATGGAGTTGTATGTTCTTACTGCATGGAGTTTCAATAATTCAGAAAGGATGGGTTTTAATATCTTACATCATTTTCATATTTTAGAAAAATACAGGGCCAGATTTGTATTGAAACTGTACCTTGTTCTTGGTATATAGCAATGCAATTCTGCAATTCAACAATAAAAAAAAAATGGGATCATATTGAAAGGTATAAAAATACTTCTTTTCTAAAAAAAATTATGGAAGTGACCCAAAATTTAAATTTGTGAAAAATGAAATAAAATTTTGACATCAGAATTATGTGGTTGCACAGGTAATGAAAGAGAGGAGTATTGAATTTGAATAAAGTGACAAAAGAGAAATGTCTTAAGTTCAAATGAGCATTTCCTTTCTTAATTTCAGTTCAATAAAGCCCCAGTCTAGTCCTGCTTTATTTCTGATTTTAGGAGTCATCATTCTCAAAAAAGACAATACCATCCACACCCCCAGTGAAGTCTATGAAGTCCGAATCTTCATTATCTAAACCCAAACTGGAATCCACCGACTCCGTGTCCCTCCCAAACAATCAATCAAATGGAACTAGTAAATCTACGGAGGACAGTCTGATGTGGGTAGATAAGTACAAACCTACTCAGCTGAAACAGATCATTGGTCAAACAGGGGATAAAAGTAATGCCAAGAAACTACTGCACTGGTTAACCAACTGGCATAGAAATCAGGCAGTGGGAACCAAACCACAAGGTGGGTCAAGTCCAACCAAAAATATCAATGAAATTATACAATATAGAGCGAAAAATGCCTCTAAAAGAGGAGTATATATATAGAGAATATTCAATGTTTTGTACATGGATATGGAATTTATTTCACGAGTGGGACAGGATTTTTTTTTTATTTTCACGAGTGCTAAGCATGAGTGAAAATATCAGAAAATTCTGTCTCACGAGTGAAATAAATTCCATATTCATCTATGAAACATTGAATTTTTAGGTCACCTGAGTCGCTCAGGTGACCTATTGCTATCCGTTTTTGTCCGTCGGCGTGCGTCGTGCGATGTGCGTTAACATTTGAACATTTTTAGCTTCTTCTCTGAAACCGCTCAACCAATTTCAACTAAATTTGGCATATAGCATCTATGGGTGAAGGGGAACAAAAATTGTGAATTTCATGGTCCCTTCCCCCCTGGGGCCTGTGGGGTGGGGCTAAAATCACCAAAATTAATGCAATCTTTAAAAATCTTCTTCTTTTTACTCCTGGACATCAAGCAGTCAAACTGTTGGCATCATTGTAATAAGCATTGAGTCCTCTACCAAAATTGTGAAATTCATGGCCCCAGGGTCAGGGGTTCTGGTGCTAGGGCGTGGCTATATAGATCATATAGTGAAAGTGCATTATTTCTTTGAAAATCTTCTTCTCTGCTCCTGGGTATTAAATAAACTAACTAAGTATATAGTTATGATGAGTAAGAGTGCCTCTTCCAAAATTGTGAAATTCATGGCCCCAGGGGCAGGGGTTCTGGTGTTAGGGCGGGGCTCTATTGATTATATAGTGAAAATGCATTAATTCATTGAAAATCTTCTTCTGTGCTCCTGGGTATTAAATAAACTAACTAAGTACATAGTTAGGATGAGCAAGAGTGTCTCTTCCAGAATTGTGAATTTCATGGCCCCTGGGTCAGGGGTTCTGGTGTTAGGGTGGGACTCTATTGATTATATAGTAAAAATGCATTAATCCTTTGAAAATCTTCTTCTCTGCTCTTGGGTATTAAATTCAGTAACTAAGTACATAGTTATGATGAGCAAGAGTAGCTCTTTCAAAATTGTGAATTTCATGGCCCCTGGGTCAGGGGTTCTGGTGTTAGGGTGGGGCTCTATTGATTATATAGTGAAAATGCATTAATTCTTTGAAAATCTTCTTCTCTACTCCTGGGTATTATTTAAACAAACTAAGTACATTGTTATGATAAGCAAGGATGCCTCTTCCAAAATTGTGAAATTCATGGCCCCGGGGACAGGAGTTCTGGTGCTAGGGCGGGGCTATATAGATCCTATAGTGAAGGTGAATTATTTCTTTGAAAATCTTCTTCTCTGCCCCTGGGTATTGCTTAAACAGACTAAAGTACATTGTTATGATACACAAGGATGCCTCTTCCAAAATTGTGAATTTTATGACCCCAGGTTTAAGGGTTCTGGTGAAAAGGGGGGGGGGGGGGGGGGGCTTCTATTGATTATAAAGTGAAAAAGCAAAATTTCTTTGAAAATATTCTTTTCTTCTTCTGGTTAAAAAAGCAAAGAAGCTAAGTGTATAGTTATGATGAGCAAGTGTGCTTCTTCCAGAGTAGTGAATTTCATGACCCCTGGGTCAGATGTGCTGGTGTGAGGGTGGGGCTCTTGATAATTTAGTGAAAATGCATTAATTCTATTAAATAATCCTGTTTGCTCCTTAGTGTTAAGCAGATAAACAAAGTGATGATGACCAAACATATGGTCCCAGGGTCAGAAGCTCTGGTGTTTTGGGGGGTTGGGGGGGCTCTATTGATAATATAGTGAATCTGTAGTAAAAATGCATTATTTATTTAAAAATCTTCTCCGCACCTGGGCATATCTGAGGCAAACAGAGTAAAAGTTTTTATAAGGAAGGGAATTTTTACCAGATTTTTGAACATCTGGACCATTTGGTCAAGTGTTGTGGTCCTGGCCAGGGCTCTATTAGTTTGTATTCTACTGAGAGGAGTTATTCCCCTTTGCCATTTACTTTTGATAATTTATCACTGTAAATAATGTACTTGAAAGGTAAATAGAATAAGAGAATTATGCAAAAACTTTTATTGTATAATACAAAAAGTACTTTCATAGTTTTAATGATCAGATAGACTTGTAAGTAATAGATAAATAAAAATGAGACAAAAATAACTTGTCTTATTAAATATTCATCAAAGACCAAGAGATGCCAATGTAAGAGATTTCAACAAAGGATTAAAATAGTACAGAAGCATTGATAATTTGTTAATATACTGTATAGTGATAGTGATAAATGAGGAACAGATTAGAACCTAATTTATGAACTGTTAATGAATATTAAGACCAATTATTTTGTTGATCATGATCACCCTATTTTTCTTGCTTTTGGGCAACAAAGCTTCACCTTTCAGTTCATTTTATACTCTATGCATCCTTGAAATTGTTGTATCATACTCAGGTGACCGTTAAGGCCCTTGGGCCTCTTGTCTGTTTATTACATTTTCTTTGATTTTCCCTTTGCCTCTGTCTTTTGGTAACACTAGGCTGTGACGTCATAATTGAGCGGTTGAGACGTCATTGCGATTGCGAGATTGAAAAATGCTATTAACATGGATTTTTAGCAACATAATTGGAAAAACTTTGGCAGAATAACTATAAGTCTCTGTCAGGATGGCTCATTTACTCTATCTTATAAAAGGCCAGGGATTTTTTAAAAAAGACTCTTTGTTAAGGGAAGGAAAATCATAAGTTTTGCCCCACTTCTGATATTCTCACACTGTGAGAATGCCATTTTGGTATTCTTTCACACTGTGTCTGAATATCACTTTTATTCAGTAAATAAATTACAGTTTTTCTCTGTTGAAAATGTAATAAATTGTATTTTATGTGAGGAAAATTAAGTTTGAGAAGTTATTTGACATGTACAGTTTTCAACATAGGTAGTTAACACAAATGTAAATGCATTAATTTGGAGAGTGGTTAGTTAAAAGAATATGTTTGGTTTCAGGTAAATTTTTTGGTAAGAATGATGATGGGTCTGGATTCAAAGCTGCCCTGCTATCAGGTCCTCCAGGGATCGGAAAAACCACCACAGCTACATTAGTGTGCCAGGTTAGTTAAGAAATGAATTTAATTTTTGAGAATTCATGAGGACATGAACTACGAAGCTTCATGCCAGCATATTTCATGATTTCACAATTGCTTGATAGGTGTCTTATGTATCTTGGCTTAGGATGGAGTAGGGGGTTCATTTTTCCTTTCTTTTTAAAGTTTAAGATTCAAATGAGGTTTCTGAATACAGTTTGTCTTGGTTTTTTAATTTTCATGTATTTGTGTATACACTTCAAACTTATTTGACTTTTCCAAAACATATGCTTAATTTCAGCCTTTCAAACTTAGTACAGAGTTCTCATTCCTGAACTTTGATTTTATTTGTAAATTATGCTTGCATTCTCATCAACTTAAAAAGTCAAATGAATCTCATGATTTATTTGGTTAGCACCACAAAAGATGTCCAAAGTTAACCGAGGTATTAGCTGACAATTTATATGTGGAGAAATTCCCCAGCCCCCGGGTCTTAGGGACAACCCTGCTGATATATTTATAGTTATGTTCTTTTTTAGGAGGCAGGTTTCTCCTATGTAGAGTTAAATGCATCAGACACACGATCAAAGAAGAGTTTGAAGGAAGTCGTCGCAGAATCACTTGACAATACAACTATAGTGGATTATCTAGGTCTGTGAAATTTGACTGCCTAAAACCTTATTTCTTCTTGGCTGATTAGTTTCAAATTATCAAAGGGGAGATAGCATGCCAAGATGTTTATTATGATACATATACTTATTCCAAGTAAAAATCTGCAACAAATGAAGTACTGAAGTCACAAATTTAAGTTAGCTTTGTAAAGATGACTTTAATGCAAGATAAAAGTTTTAAAATTTATTTTACAGGAGTTACTAAGAGCACAACACATGGACATAAGCATTGTCTGGTAATGGATGAGGTGGACGGGATGGCAGGAAATGAAGATCGCGGAGGTCTGCAGGAGTTAGTGTCCCTGATCAAGTCATCGCATATCCCAATCATCTGTATGTGTAACGACAGAAATAGTCCCAAGATGAGGACCCTCTCCAACTACTGCTTTGATCTCCGCTTCCAGAGGCCTCGATTGGAGCAAATCAAGGTCAAAAATTAACAATTACTGATCAGAATGTTGACTACTGTAATATAACTTTTGTTTTTCATCTTCATTTTGTCAATATGAACAAGTATCAATTGGTATCTTTGAAGGAAGGAGAATTTTGAACTGAAAATCTGTCAAAGAAAATTATGAAATTTGTATCCCTGGGCTTAGACCTTGGAGTGGGGTTAGGTTGATCATATTTTTAAATTGAATTATAACATTTAAAATCATTTTAAATTGAGCATTGATGCAATGTAATGTTGGAAATTATTGTTCTGTACAAATTGTAAAAATCATGTTGCATGGGTACATGACCCTCTTGTTCCCAGTGGAGTGGCAGCTGTAGCAATAACCATAAATAACTTGGATGTTTATCGCTTTCTCATTTTTGACTTGAATAATTTTTCTTTACCTGCACATCATTTCATAAAAATAAATCTGAGATCACACACCAGTGAAAGAAATGTTCATCAAGATGAGATCTGTTTTCAGGGAGCTATGATGTCTGTAGCATTTAAAGAGGGCTTAAAAATTCCACCACCAGCACTGAATGAAATCATTATGGCAGCCAATCAAGACATTAGACAGGTAAGACCTTAGCGAATAGATGTCAAATTAACACTGATTCTAACAAAATAATGTAGATTTAGGATGAAATGAAATGAGGTAAAGATAAGATTAATGATTACGTCTCACTGAGAGAAACATCCAGGGGCTGACGAATAAAAATTTTTAGGCACTTGTCCAAGGGCAAGTGCATGGTCAAAATTCACTTGCCTTGCATCAATTTTTGCTTGCCCCACCATAAACTAATACTGTATTTATATATTTTCAAAAAATAGGGAGACAATTACTGAGTAGATCATGCAAGCCCCTAAGCCCAGCTTTAAATCTGTGACATCCATATTGAATTTTTTATGCCCCCGGATCGAAAGATCCCGGGGATATATTGTTTTTGTCCTGTCTGTCTGTTTGTCTGTTTATCTGTTTGTCCGTTTGTCTGTTTGTCTGTCTGTCTGTTGTCAACTTTAACCTTGCCCATAACTTTTGATTGGTTGGAGCTATGACTTTCATATTTCACTTGTGTATTCCTTGTGACAAGACCTTTCTTTGGGTACCATCATATTTGACCTTTTGACCTTGACCTTGGTGTTTGACCCACTTTTGCAAAATTTTATGAGACTTTAACCTTGGCCATAACTTCTGAACAGTTGGTGCTTGGGGTTTCAAACTTCACATGTGTATTCTTTGTGACAAGGCCTTCCTTTGGATATCAACAACTTTGACCTTTTGACCTTGACCTTGGAGTTTGACCTACTTTTGAAAAACTTTAACCTTGGCCATAACTTTTGAATGGTTAGAGTTAGGGCTTTCATACTTCACATATGTAATCCTTGCGACAAGACCTTCCTTTGGATACCAATTATCACTTTGACCCTTTGACCTTGACCTAGGAGTTTGACCTACTTTTGAAAAACTTTAACCTTGGCCATAACTTTTGAATGGTTGGTGCTGGGGCTTTCATACTTCACATATGTAATCCTTGTGACAAGATCTTCCTTTGGATACCAACCACTTTGACCTTGACCTTGACGTTTGACTTTTATTTTAAAAACTTTAACCTTTGCCATAACTTTTGAACAGTTGTATCTAGGTCTTTCAAATTTCACAGCTGTATTCCTCGAGACAAGACCTTTCTTTGGGTATCAACATTTTTTATCTTTTAGCCTGGATTTTGACTTGCATTTGAAGAAACTTTAACCTTTGCCATAAGCTGCCATACGGGGGCATCAGTGTTTCACAAACACATCTTGTTTTTTTTTCAACCACTTGCCCACGGGCAAATGGTTGATAAAGTTTCACTTGCCAATCCCTAAAATCCACTAGCCCCGGGCGTCAGGCAGTGGGATTTGTCAGCCCCTAAACATTTGAGCATTTTGCTGAAGCTGAATTCTTTTATTGTTAGGTTCTACATAATTTATTGATGTGGACAGCTGGAGAAAAAAGTTTGACCTATGATCAGGCCAAGAAAGACTCCAGTAATGCCAAAAAGGACTTCAAATTGGTGAGTAGAATTGTGTTGTCAGGGCTCAGTGTTCACATTTCTCCGATTGTCCTTGTGTCCAGTTAATTTGTAACTCAAACAAGACAAAGTCCTCTAACATTTGCCTAACAAGTTAGAATTCTGAAGACACAGATATCTATGAGAGGAGATGTATTACACGTATATACCTCAAAAACAACAGTCAGATGCTTGAAAATACATTTTTATTAAATTAAAAGGAAATTTTTTTCAAATAAAAAAAATATCAGTGAGTAAATTTATTTGTAGGGTCCTTTTGATGTTTGTCGTAAGGTGTTTGTGGGTGGAGAGGAAACAGCAGGCATGACCATCAACGACAAGTCTGATCTGTATTTCCAAGACTACAACATTGGTCCACTGTTTGTACAGGAAAACTACATCCATGTTATTCCATATGCTGCAAAGTAAAATTTTATTACTGCATTATTTATATAAATTTCTCTTAAAAATGCCAATACTTGAGGTTCATTATGCTGACTTTTAGTCCTATTTCAGCTCTTTTAGAAAAAGCCCTTTTAATGATTCCACAAATCAAAGAAAAAGATAATCAGTAGAATATATAAAGTGAGTTAAAAAGTTATCTTAGGCTTTCGGTATTCAGTTTCTTGAAATTGATAATTAAGAGACAAACTTTATTTGTTCTCTCCAAAGATTTATCATCGGTAGCTTCAGTTTATATTTCAAGAAAAAATAGCCCACAAGAATCCAAAGTTAGATATATTTTGACAATTTAATTTGAGCAAAAGTTCTTTAGTGTCCTCCATTTGTATGGTTGTGGAAGTAATAAACAAAAGACAAACAATATATCATTAAGGATTGTCTCCATTTTTGTGAATCCATGCTTTAATAACTACAGTCACTTGAGATTATTTGAACTTTGATCTTTTGAAGTTCACAATCTGCTGAAGTCAGGCCCTGGTCCTGATTTTTTCCTTAACAAGCAAATTTATTCTGGATCTTGAACCTTGGATCTTGAATCTCTGAAAACTCTTGATCTCAAGAAGTATTTTTGAAGTTCTATTTTTTACTTGTGATCACTCAGTCTATAGGTGATGATGACAGCAAGCTTTCTCACAGGTGTGTTAATTATAGTGACATGTGAACCCCTACGCTTATGTTAAATTGGTTAATTGGATGTTGGCATTAATTACATGTCACGTAGCTTGTAAATACACCCATAGATTGTTCAAGACCTGAAGTTTACGGAGTAGCTCCTCAGAACCAAAGGATTAAAGACCTAATGCTGTGGTCATTTGTGCAGTGTGCATCAACTTTTTGGAATATGGGCCATATTTTAAAAAACCCCTGACCAATTTGTGGCAAATTTGTGGCAGAGTATCCTTGCTCCAAGGGCTTTCATTTATATTAAAGATAGAGATTTAACCCTCAAACAAGGGGAGATAATTAGGGAAATAAAATAAAAAGTAGTGGTTGATAAAAAAAATCTTAAATCATAAACACATACAAAGGTATGCATCTCAGGAAACAAAATGTTTTTTTTGCTCAATGAGCTGAAAGCTCAAGTGAGTTTTTTAGGTCACCTGACCTTTTTGCTATCTATTTTCATCCTTTATCGTACGTTGTTTGTCGTCAATCGGTCATGAACTTTGGAACATGTTTAGGTTCCTCTCTAGAACCACTGAACCAATTTCAACCAATTTTGGCATATAACATCTATGGGTGAAGGGGAGTAAATATTGTGAAAGTCATGGCCCCTAGATCAGGGGTTCCTTGAGGTGGGGGTTTATGTATTATATAGTGAAAATAAATTAATGCTATGAAAATCTTCTCCCTTGTCCCTTGGTATTAAGCAAACAAACTAAATACATGTACATAGTTATTATCAAAAAGGGTGCCTCTTCAGGGGTTCTTGTGCTTGGGTGGGGCTCTATTGATTAATTGGCAATATTAATTGTAAATTATTATAATTATCAATAGTAATTATGCAATAATATCAATGTAAATGTATTAAATATAATTATAAGTAAATTTGCCTTTTCTTTGTTCCTGGGTACCTAGGAGGCAAACAGAGTACACAATTGTAATAAGTGAAGCAAATGAGAGTTACTCCCCTTTCCTAGATGTTGTTAATCTAGGAATGTTGTTAAACAAGAAATCCTTGTATAGAATTTAATTAATAGGTTATTTGATTGAATGAGAATACAAGAAAGAATGTTATATATATATATATATATATATATATATATATATATATATATATATATATATATAGAAACAAAATATAATTGAATGGTTAAAATGAGCATGCTCAAAGTCAGATTCTTGCCAGGAAATCAATATAAAAGATTGACATGAAAAGATTATTTATATATTTAGCAAAAGTTGTAATTGTAGACAGTATATTTATACTGTGGTGATCTGTTTGACAGTAGATGAGATTTTATCACTGGTACAGTCAAAGTTGACAAGAGACTGGATGTTGTCTTATACTTTATCAAAGTGAACAAAGAATCACATAGAGTCAGGGTGACTTATTGTAATTAGTGACAAGTGGTAAATAGCCACGTTGTATACCCAAGTCTGTGTGTACTGAATTGTAGCACTAGGCAAATGACATATCTGTATATATTGAATACCTTACACAATAGGCAAGTGTCCATTGGATTTGTATATTTTGCATTCATTATCATCCCTGTAAGACTTGGGAAAACCAAGTATGATCCTAAGGAGATCACTCAGGTCTAACACATTACAATAAGCTAGGGTATTTTTACCAGATTTTTGAAATTCTCGGGCAACATTGCTTGGTGTTTCAGTTAATTTTGTTTTATACTTGTATGGATCCTTTACAGTGTTGTATTATACTCAGGTGACCGTTAAGACCCTTGGGCACCTGATGTCTGGCATCCATCCGTTCCATTTTTCACACTATTGTTTTTGTCTCCAGCAAATATAATCACTCATAGTGTGTTGTGTAATAAAACGTCATAATTATATTTCAACAGTTTAACAACTGTTTAGAAAGTGGAAAACAATATATATTTTAAAAACAATAAATACTTAACTAATAACTGATAAAGGAGTTTTGCCTCTTCGATACTAGCGTCTGTTGTGTTAAGGTTCATCCTTTAAATTGTGTGATTTGATTTGTTGATAAAGATGTTAGCTAATATATGGTTTGTCAAGATGGAAAATGTGAATAAACCTCCAGGTACTTTATTTTGAGGTGAACTTGAGGTGAGGAACACCCAAGGAAAGACAGTCTAGACCAATCAGAGAGCATTAAAATTTCATATGGTTTAATAACGAAAAAAGTGTGAATTACATGTACTAATCAACTACCTCTATGATGTTAAATGCATTTTATGTGCAATAAATGTTATATTTTTAGTGAAAAAAGTTAGTCATCACTGTAAATTTTTTACAAATATTTTTAAAAGAATGAAAAATATGATTGTGAAAATGATTTTACACATGCTCCGTGAAATCACAAATTTTTGCAGGAGTCTAATTTTCATTGCTTTCATGATATGAAGAGACTCCTGAATTCATGTCCTCCACGAAATGATCAAATTTAAAACAGAGAGAAACTGTACAATACATCTACAATATCAAATTCCTGGAAAGAAAATTCTGTAGACTTCATCTACAAATCAAATCCCTGGAAAGAAACTCTATACACTTCATTTACAAAATCAATTAAATCCCTGAAAGGAAACTCTACACACTTCATTTACAAAATCAAATCCCTGAAAGGAAACTCTATACACCTCATCTACAATATCAAATCCCTAAAAAAGAAATGCTATACACTTCATTTACAAAATCAAATCCCTGGGAACCATAATTTTTTTCCTCAAATCACAAAAAATATGACCCAAGGCAAATAAAGGGATTTTATTATGCATTATAACCAATTGGAAAAATGCAAATTTTTTAACACTTAATCAAAGTTTTTCAGCAATCTCTTGAAATTTGAGCTTCATGAGTTACCTGTATTTTTTTTAATCTCTATACTTTTGAAATATCCTGTTTTGTAGAGGTAATGTAACTCGACATTTGTCTCTGCTGGCCAGGGCTGCTGACAGCCTGTGTGATGGGGATACATTAGACAGCTGTATCCGCGGGAACCAGTCTTGGAGTCTGCTACCTACAGCGGTGAGAGATGTTCTATTATTACAAACCATCTTGTACTTAAATTTAAAAAAAAATTTTACAGCTTTCTGTTTTATTTGAATATTGAATGTAATTGCCCATGAAGGCTCTTAGATATCTTTTGATATAATGCTTCATTTATCACAACTTTTCTACTGATTCAGGCAATGTATGCTAGTGTGATACCGGGGGAGTATATGAGAGGAAGCTTACAGCAGATGGTCAGTTTTCCAAGCTGGTTGGGCAAAAATTCCACCACCAGCAAAACTGACCGCATTTTACAAGAGTTGAGAACACACATGTCACTACCGTAAGTATTACATGTAATGTAAATTACATTATAATGGTTCATGTGATGTCATCCCCATTTGTTTACATGTAATGTTCCGTTAGTATTATATGTAATGTAAATTCCATTATTTTTACATGTAATGTCATATCCATTTGTATTACACTTTGGTATTACATGTAATGTTCTATTAGTATTACATGTAGTGTCAGTTCCATTGATATTACATTTAATGTCCCACTACTATTACATGTAATGTAAATTACATTTATTTATAATTGTTACATGTAAAGTCAGCCCCATTTGTTTACATGTAATGTTCCCCTAGTATTACATGTAATGTAAATTCCATTATTGTTACATGTAATGTGATCCCCATTTCTATTACACTTTGGTATTACATGTAATGTTCCCCTAGTATTACATGTAATGCAAGTTCCATGGGTAATGCATATAATGTCCCATTTGTATTACATGTAGTGTTAGTTCCATTGGTATTACATTTAATGTCCCATTAGTATTACATGTTATGTCCAGGGTTGCAAATAACATTTTAAACTTAGGGGGCCGTGTGGACCCCCAACTTCACAGGTTTTACTAGTAGCCCACATTGATATTTTGGGGCCTACAATTTATTGTTCACTTGGTAACAAAAAATTATTTCTTACGATAATCTCAAATAATTTCCTGTCCGCAGTCTTTCATTTCATTTGCCTGGGGATTTTGATTTACCAATTGTATAGAATTCCATGTTTTCATTCTCTTCAAGATATGTATTTTGAATTCAATGTTGTTATCATAAAATTTGCAGGAAGAGTACTTTACTGACAGAAAGCATACTTTACCAACTTTCAAAGTTCATAATGTGAAATATTTTTACCCAAGGTGGCAACAAAAAATCAAAAAACATTTTATTTTAATTCAGAAGGAAAATTAATGAATATAAAGCTTGTTGTGAATAATACACAGTGTGCATCTTAATTGGACTAAAACCCGCTACTGTTGATACATAAATGAATTTTCATTCTTTGAAGGACACGATTCTGGGTCTTGAAAACGTTTTATAGGAAGAACACAGTGAAACTGAAAGTGCAATTAATAGTGGAACCAGACCACATAAGGTTCTGGAAAATATCCGATAAAAATCTTACTCGCCATGTGGGTAATAATATCCTCGCCCACAGGCAAAATTGCTCGCATTTGCAAGTGGGTGAGTGGTTATTTGCAACCCTGATGTCAGTTTCATTGGTATTACATGTAATATCAGTTCCTTTAGTATGACATGTAATGTTAGCCACAAGTCAGGAAATAATTCCATTTGTTAGGAAATTGTCAGTTTTAATGTGTATGTCAGTCACATGAGAAAATAATCCCATTAGTAAAGAGTTTGTAGAGAAGCAGTAGATTTTTAAAAGAAGGAGGCGAGAGATGGAGTAAAAAAGCTAAATACTTTTGTATAAACCAGTAGAGTTAATGTATATGCAAGTCAGGAAATAATCCCATTTGTAAAGAATTCTTTAGTATAACATGTATGGTATTCATTTTGTAGAACATCAGCTAATAAACTGAGCTTGAATCTTGATTATCTCCCCTACATGAGGAAGTTTCTGACATCACCATTAGTGATCAAGGAGAATGATGGGATACCAGATGTCATAGATCTAATGGACAAGTATGACATCATCAAAGAGGACTTTGACAATATTCTGGAAGTCACGAAATGGCCAAACAGTGCAGATCCAATGTCATTACTTAGCTCCAAGGTCAGTGTGTAACAGTAAGGGGAGAGGCCATGAATACTGTAGATTCCGAAATATACACAAGGAATTAATAATCACGTAATTTCTTGAGATACACAATGTGCGAAATAAAATTTTATTTTTATGGTGCTAAAATCCGTGTAAAATCTCTTGATCAACTGTCTGCTCGCGAATTATTGTTCACGCGATTTGATATTAAAGAACCATCTCATGATAATAAATACTAGCAAAAAATAAGGAATCTACAGTAATCATAAATTGTCAGATGATGTTTTCAAATTAAGACAAATTCCAGAGCAAAACAACCTTGTCATTCTCTGTATGAAGGTATCAGATTCAGCTATAGGAGAGTAAATATAATCTCTGAGTCAGCATATTTATCTTGTCATGTTGACATAATTACAAGTACCGGTAAAGATGCTAACCCCCCCCCCCCCCCCCCCCCCCCATCACCCTTTTCTCCCATTGCATTATACATATTCCATTTCATGTCCAAGTTTTTGGCCCATAATCATCCTTTGATATACAGATACTAAGTCCTTCCTATAGAAGACCCTCTCCTTCACAAAGTTAAGTTTTGTTTTGAGGAACTGTTGTGACATCTGAGGGTATCTCTAATTCTTAAGATGCTTTAACTTTAATTTGATATATTAATTAATATTTGCATAATGTTTTTATTAAGTAGAAATTCCTGCTAAAATTTGTGAGTTATTTCTATCTCAAACCTTTTTTTAGACAAAAGCAGCCTTTACAAGAACTTATAATAAGGAGGTCCATTTGACCCCATATGTTACTGGTGCCCTGACCAAGAAGGGCCGAGGGGGAGGGGCAGCTTCTACAGAGGATTACGGTCTAGAGGGTGAGGGTGAAGGAGAGGAGCCAGTGACCGCCCCAGACAGTGACAAGGAGGAAACAGATGACGTAGAAATGGACTCCATGATTAAGGTTTCAATCTTGCATTTTATTTCATTTAGTAAACATTTTGATAAAGAAAGCTTTTAGAAATTTTGTGCCTTTCATTTACAAAAATGAATGAATCAGTTGAACCATGTCTTTTCTAAGCTTTTAAGTGGAAGCAGTAAATTTAAAGAAGATCACAAATCTCATGAATTGTTTTTTTATTAAACCTGAAACAAGAACAATCCATCACACACACACACAATTCCGCACGTTACACAAATGATCAGGATTCTACACATAAGACAAACGATCACGATTCTATACGTTACACAAACGATCACGATTCTATACGTTACACAAATGATCACGATTCTATATGTTACACAAATGATTACAATTCTATACGTTACACAAACGATCATGATTCTATACTCTACACAAACGATCATGATTCTATACGTTACACAAATGATCACGATTCTATATGTTACACAAATGATTACAATTCTATACGTTACACAAACGATCATGATTCTATACTCTACACAAACGATCACGATTCTATACGTTACACAATGATCATAATTCTATACATTACACAAACGATCATGATTCTATACGTTACACAAACGATCACAATTCTATAATCTACACAAACGATCATGATTCTATACGTTACACAAATGATCATGATTCTACACCTACTCAGACAATCATGATTCTATACATTACACAAACAATCACGATTATATACGTTACACAAATGCTCACGATTCTACAGGTTACACAAATGATCATGATTCTATATGTTACACAAACGATCACAATTCTATACGTTACACAAACGATCATGATTCTATACATTACACAAACAATAAGGATTCTATACATTACACAAACAATCACGATTCTGTACTTTACACAAACAATCATGATTCTATAAGTTACTCAAACAATCACGATTCTATACGTTATACAAATGATCATGGTTCTATACGTTACACAAATGATCATGATTCTATACATTATACAAACGATCACGATTCTATATGTTACACAAACAATCAGGATTCTATACGTTACACAATTAGGATTTTATATGTTACACAAACAATCACGATTCTATACGTTACACAAACTATCACAATTCTACACATTATACAAATTAAAAGATATAAAACAGATCACCAACACTTCGTGAGAATGCAGCAGTAAATTTATTTGGTTGACCGGTTTCGACCAGAGATGGTCGTCATCAGAACAAATATACATGAAATGATTATACATGAAGTAAAAATTGCGGACTACGTTACTATGTAAATAAAAAATGCGGACGTCATAACAACTTGCGGACTAGAATCTTTACATTAATAATTTAACAACCATAATCGTGTGAAATTGTCACAAAACTTTACATTACATTATTTATCCTAAATGATTTTTTTTTTTATTGTTTTGTATTTTACATTATACAAATGATCAGGATTCTATATGCTACACAAACCATCACGATTCTATATGTTACGAAAATGATCACAATTCCTAAAGCAAACACAATTTTTCATGCAAAATAGTTAAAAGGGGAGGATGGGATTTAAAATAATGATGAACATCACTGATGAAATTTTAATTAACATCTTAAATGCTTGTTTACTACTATAAATTAATAATTTCATGTCTTGATGGATATAAAGAAAGGGAATGTAAAAGTGTAATAAACAATTATAAGAGCTTATGATTAGACAAAACATTATATAAATAATTAACTAATTAAATGAGTAAACTATATGACATAAATAAATAAATAAACAGCAATTTCAGATCATCCAACAGACTGCATGACTTGCCTCATAAGTATTAGAAGAATTAAATATGTATATATTCTATAAAATGATTGTCTTTTATTTCGATATTAAAATAGTTAATAGACAAGAAAAGATTTGTTCTACTATTTATATTCTGATATAAACTGACAAAACCAAATTTGCATGGTTCATGGCACACAATCGCGCACGATTCAAACCGCTAACGATTGAACCTGATTCACACATGATCTCTCACTTTACAAAAACGATCACACATGTTACAGGAACAACTTCGCATGTCCTTGTTTGGTTTGTCAACAATAACGTTGCAGCCCCTGTATGTTTAAATTTAATTTTTTCATCTTTACTGTATACAAAGCTTGAAGAAGAATTTTTTTCTTTGAAAATTTCCTTTGTCATTGTAGCAAACAAAAAAGCCTAAAGGAAAGGAAAAGGAACCAAAATCAACTTCCTCTAAGGGAAAAGGGAAAGGAAAGGGAAAAGGGAAAAGCTGACATGACATTCTCTTAATAAGAAAAGATTCATCTGTTAGACAGGTGTTGTGATACATCTATTTCTCTACCACTGTTGACAATACTGTACTATGACATTCAAGGAAAAATGGTAATGATACCATGTAAAAACATTTAGAAGATGTATGTCTTTGATTAGGCTGTTATCTTTACTAAATTAAGTACAATGTGATTCAAATCTTTATCAATAAATGATTTGGAACGTTAAATAAACTGCTGATGATTTCTTATGTTCATCTAATTGAGACTTGATACAGACTTATAGGTTATAGCTTTGTAATCTCCAGTATTAAGATTTCATCATAATGAAGGTTATTTACATAGAAAAAAGCTAAAAAGTGACATGGGTTGATTAGTGGATGGAAAAGTTGTTCACTCTTGGTGTGGTTTAAATCAGCTGTTTCTTTTGAACACTTAAAAAAAATCCAGAAAACTCTGATGAGACTGAAGCTTTACTTGTTTGAAATAGTGTAATTGATAAGTTCTACTTGTATGAACATTTGTTATTCAAGTTTAACATCACTGTGGCAAACTATGGGTTTTGTGCCCATTCTATTTCCAGAAACACATTTTTTACTACTTTTGGGCTTTTTGGTTCTCTTTTATGTTTATATATACTTATTTAGCTCACCTGAGCTAAAAGCTCAAGTGAGTTGTTCTGATCACCTGGTGTCCAGCATCCGTCCATCTGTAAACTTTTCACATTCTCAACTTCTCAAGAACCAAAGGGCTAATTTTAACCAAAGTTGGTTCAAAACGTCCCTGGGTGAAGGGGTTTGTAAATTGGTAAAATGAAGGGCCAGGCCCCCTTCCAAGGGGAGATAATCAAGAAAAGGCAAAAATAAAGCAAGGTCATTAAAAAATCTTCTCAGGAACCACTTGACCATTAAAGCTGAAACTTATATGGAAGCTTCCTAAAGTAGTTTAGATACTTAATTGTTCAAACCATGGTCCCAAAGGGGTAGGGTGGGCCACAATAGGGAATCAAAGTTTTACATTGAAATATATACCAAAAATCTGCAAAAATCTTCTAAAGAACCACTTGACTAGGAAAGCTGAAACTTATGTGGAAGCTTCCTGAGGTATTGTAGATTCTAAATTGTTCAAATCATGGCCAACAGGGGAAGAGTAGGGCCATTATATGGAATCAAAAGTTTTACATTGAAATATATAGGAAAAATCTTCTTATTAAAAAACCACTGATCCAGAAAAGCTGAAACTTAGCTAGAATCTTCCTGAGGTAGTGGAGAGTTATTCAATACGTGGCCCCCAGGGGTAGGGTGGGGTTGTAACAGGTAATCAAAGTTTTGAATTGAAATATTTAGGAAAATCTGTAAAAATCCACTGGACCAGGAAAACTGAAACTGATGTGGAAGCTTCCTGAGGTAGTATAGATTGTAAATTTTTCGGTGGGGCTATAGTAGGGGTTATATACGGAAAAATCTTTTAAACTCCTTAAGAGCAAATCCATGATGGTGTGGAAGCATGTTCTGGTAGTGTAGATCCATTTTTGTTCAAATCACGGCCCCTGTGTAGAGGATGGGGCCACAAAAGGTGAATAAAAATAATGCTAAGACCACACAAAATCATATAACCAAAATATGTGCCCAGGGGCTAGGGTTGGGCAAAAATCAGATATTTGTAATGCTACTGTACAGGAAAAAGTCTTCTATAGAACAGCAAGGTGATGTTGATCATGCTGATATCGAAGCATCTCAGTTTGTGTGGATTCTACTTTTATTAAATCATAGCTCCTAAGTAGATTTTTGTCCACAATAATGAGTCAAAATTTTAATAGAATTGGAGAGGGAAATTTATATGAACAGGAGGGCCAAAGTGACTCAGGTGAGCATTGTGGCCTATAGGACTCTCGTTAAATAATGTGTTTACAGTTTAATTACATTGATAAATTATCAGTTTTAAGATTTTCTGGTCAAAGACGGAAGAGTTGATAGTTTATTCACATGAAGTAGGTGTTTTTCTCTTTTCTGAATATATTATCATATAATGAATACATTGACTTTTTTTCTATTTTCGATTAAAATGTTTCAAACAAAGACGGCAAAAGGGGGTGCGACCGTAACACCCCCCCCCCTCCTCTCCTTTTATTAAAAAAGCTTTAAATTATTAAGTTGAAACAAAATAAATTCGTAAAATGATGATTATATCTCTGTTCAGAGTAATACTGCATGCTTTATTTTGCTCAATTAATATTTGAAGAAATAACTTGAAGAATGCGCTAGAAACCACCATAATGGCACTAATTTATATTTTTAAAAAAATCCAAACTCTCGAGAGGAGATAAGCTTCCTAGACCCTCCCCTGCACCCTCTTTTCAAAAACTTGACGACGGCCCAATAAAGTGTGTATTTAAGGTCTGACAACACGTTCCTTGAAAATCTGATTTTGTATTTCTTAGCAGTTTGCCAAAATATTTCTAATTTTTGACATCTTTTTATTTTTTAACTGTTTTCAAGACTGTCTTTAATGATATTAACACCAAAAATTGTTATATCAGAGATTCAAGTAATTTTCTACATGATTATGTAAGAAATCCCATCCTCTGGTATCTAGGACAAATACCTGGTAAGGTACCTTAATTTTTAGCAAGAAAACTTCCTAAAGTAGCAATACGTTTATCACAGATTCTTTTAAAATTTATATATCTGAATACTGAGTGTCACCCATCCAAGGGTTATACAGGCTCGCCGTTGCTTAACTTGCCTGAAATAGAGGGAGACCCTACCGCATATTATCTCTTAGCTTTCTTACAATATACAGTTATTGATTGGGTATGGGGAAGGTGAAAATGTTGCCAGAGGCCGCAGGCCAAGAGCAACATTTTCACCTTCAGGTCCAACAAATCATATGTTGCCCCATACCCAGTCAATAACTGTTTTGTTATACCCTTCACTTCAGATAGAACAATTAAAATGAAAACATTTGAACAGATTTAATAAATATATAATCAATTACCTTATTTGGAAAATTTTGATCAAGAAAAATAAAAAAAAAAAAATGGGAGAGAATGGAAAAAATTTAAAATAAAATTATTATATTGTATCATAAAAATTATTTATCACAAAACATACTCTTTCATATAGCAAACGACAACGCTTGCAGCTCTAAACTTCGGCTATTTCCGTGTCGCCGATATTGAACGACGATTTATTATTTGTGACGTTGCAGTCTAAAATTCTTATGTTGGACTGGCAGGCTGGTCAACAATAAAATTGTTAGACCGATGCAATAAACATTTCTTTTGTTGGACTTTTTATTAGTATAAATAAATATATACAAAGATATTTATAAGGCTATAATGTGTATAGATTGCATGCAGTGACTGCAAGCAAAGATTTATTTTAATTAAGTAAAAGAATAAGGCGTGCACCTATTTTGAAGCATGCATGTATTTATCTCAATTCGTTTACAGTTGACGACAAATGACTTTACATTCTGACAAACATTTTTAAAAACGGGTCGACAGTCAGACTGCTCTGTCATTGACCAAGAGAGCTTAAATTTCCAGGAGCGTAAATTTATATATTCATTCCTTCATGTTTTGTAGGTGATATAATTTTTAAGACGTCAGCCAGGAAGGTGAATAAACAATTTCTCATTAACATTTAACACTTCATAATATATTGAACCTGCAATTATTGTAATGTTGTTGTTTTTAATTACAAACCGTTTACACATTCTTTGTCGGCAGTATTTTTAAACTCTTGTACTTTTGTAAATCTTTTAAAGAGAAAAGTACTTTGTAACTTTTACTACTTAAGTAACAATGTTTTTTTACATTTTCTATCAAGTAACATTGTTTCAGTCGTTGGTTGTGTATTTATCCATCATTTAGGTACGAAACATTAATTCATTTTAGGTTCTTTGACAGGTCGCCCCGAGTTTCTATTGTTGTATTGTCAAATGTAAATGTATTCAAATATTTTCGTAGAAAAAGTTAAATTGGACCTTGCCTTGAAAAGTTCTGTTTGTTTGTTTGTTTTTATTGTTTAGCGTGAAAAGTTATGAGAATGGTTTGATAAAATATTAACCGTTTAACAGAAGTAAATGATTTTGATATCAATGAAAAGAGGAGGAAAATATGCAAATATTATTTCTTTTTTTATTTTATGTGACGTAATTGCTCCGAAAATGACGTCAGTATCCCCCGTGATAAGTGTACTGACAATAAAAATGACGTAGTGGTTTATGTCTCTCCGTTGATTCGATACGCAGGAGCATGCTCTACATACGAACAATTTCTAAAACTGGCAAACTATTGACAAACAAGTTGATGAAACAAGAATATCAACATTCTCGTTTAGTCATCATTTTGCAAGAGGTATGCTCGATACAATGACCTTGTCAGCAAATACAACCTATCATTAAGTTAAATGCTGACTGATGTTTTCAATACTAATTGTTAGGCTATTATTTACACACTGAATTGTTTACGGATTTTTCCGTTTTTCCGATCATGACAAGGAGCTCACGGCGGGTGTGACCGGTCGACGGAGGATGGCTACTCCTCCATGGCACCTGATCCCACCTCTGAATGGCTCTGATGTTTTTTAGAAGTCCGTGTTTGCTCGCTCCCGATATGTATTGTTTCAATGGACTTTTGGGCTTGAGTACTGAAATAGAGGTATTCTAAAAAAAAAAAAATCATGCTTAGCGTCTGTCGCTTGAAGCTCATATAGGTAGACTTATTTATAAAAGAAATATTCTTAAAATTTAGTTTTATAAGTAATGAAATAAATGTTTCATTATAGAAAAAAAGTATAATGTTTCATAAAAGCGAAATTATTTATTTTCAGTCTGGATCAAAGTTTAGAAAATTTTCTAAACAATAAATTCTTATTGGAAAGAAAGAAGTTCATTATCAACGGGCATTTGCATTACATAAACAATTGATTCATTTACAGATCTGAAAATGCACTTCTGATGTAACATAAGGTGCGAAAATAATTTAAAAGATTGGTTTTAACAGATTTTGTTTACTGTTTTCCTAACTTGAAAACGTGCAATATCAGCACCATATTTGGAAAGTCGTTTGACACCTCGCTTTATATGCAAAATAAAGGGGGCGTTCAATAACATGCTGAGAAATTGCATACTTAAGAATGATTGCACTCGTGGACTTGGAACTAGTAGTCCTGCTGTTAATTAAAAAAAAGTAAACTTTGAAAATGGCAAAAGAAGGAAAAGGTTAATAAAACAATTTTGTAAT